AACCGTTGAGAGGAAGGCCCCGAAACGGTGCACATTCTTTCCTGATGACCCCAGTTTAAAATTCGAGAGGAACACATCAAAATTCAGTGAAATCATATGCCGTAGAGAAGCTCGGTGGAAGTGTCATTGGCATGAGGAGCATTAAACATTCAGCTTGCTTCAGGTGAGTTTCAATTACTTTCCAGTAATTTCCTTCTATTATTAATTAATTGAAATGATTCTATTTTACTCAACCCTAACATTAAAGCATTAATTATTATAACCAAAGTTCATTGTTAGGTTGTTTGAATTCTCATATACTTGTATTTTGATTGGTCCTTCCAGCTTATGTAACAGCGTTTCTCCTAGCGAAGGGTCTTTGGTCGATTTGACCTTTTAAAACCCTTTATTCTACATTCGACATCATCACTTGATAAGACACCAGAAGTGTTGAATCAAAATGGTTATTTTTGTAGTGATTTTATAACATATTTATGTTATAATTTTCGAATAAATGATCATATATATATATATATATATATATATATATATATATATGTGTGTGTGTGTGTGTAAGCAAATGTAAATGGATATAGATCCGACAGAATGAAGAAAAATTTGGAAAAAACAAACAAAAATCCTTAAATGCAATTATATTTTAGATCCTAATAGAATTCTTTTCATTTTCTTTTTCATTCAAAATAATCAAAAATTTTTAGGAATACGTTTTGAAAGCGTCGCCCATGTGACGACAACGTGACCATGCTAAACGGAAAGCTGATCATTTTAAAAATTTTCAGTTATCTGTTTTGGATAAGACTTGTTGTTTATGTCCATCGTCTTTGTCAAATTGAACTGAATTGTATTTTAATGAATATTGTCTTGAAAAAGGTTTATTAAACCGAACCGTCAGACGTCGACATTTCATTCATTTAAAACAACATAATTGCATTTAAGGATTTTTGTTTGTTTTTTCCAAATTTTTCTTCATATATATATATATATATAATCATTTACCTCATATGGGGAATAGGATATTTCGGCAGACGATGAAAATGGTCGTCTGTCTTTTCAAATTGCCATATTTCTGTTGACTTATATTTGTTCTTCGTGTCCGCCTTAAATACTTGTAAAATCGAACAGAACTAAGCAATAAAGAAATACTAATGTTGAATTCAGTTGTGATTTAACCCGGGCAACAGCGAGTAACCTTTACAATGCGCATGGCCATCTGAAAACGTTGTGTTGCCTAGCGAGAAGAACGACTAAGAGAATCGCTCACTCTTACGTGCTACTTAATGTGTCTGTTTTTATTTGTTTTTTTTCTTATGTTTGTCCTTTTCTTCACAAAACTTTCCGAACAGGTTCTTTGCCCGACCCCCTCTCTCTATATCTCTATCACTCTCTTCTCCTCCTCCTCTTCCTTCTCCTCATCTGCCACGCTCCGTTTACTGAAAGGTTGTGACCAATCGATTCTGCTTTACATCGGTTCCGTTTCAGACAAGCGTTCATTCTCAGTGGATTTCAATCTAACCGTAATCTTCAGCATCCGTCTTTTATTTTTATTTTTTTTTAACTCTTTTTTTTTCTCTTCCTATTGTCTTGACATCGTTCTATTTTTTTTTATTTTTCAAACGTCGTCTTTGTTGGAATTTTTGTCTTCCTCTTAATGTACTTGCAGTGGCTAACGATGTATCCATTCTGCTGTCAAACATAAATTCCAGTTTGTTCCAGTGTGTTCTTTCTTTTACACAAGGACATATCTCGATTGTCTTCTATATGGAACTATTCCTTTGTTGTTTGCACTTTAACCAGCAAACTAGGCCATCAGAACAGCTCTTATAATTCCACAAAGGTGTATGTCGAACAAACGAATATAAGCCTCTAAAATAGTGATTGCATATATAGCTCTTTCCTGATAAGAAAACATTCGTCATTTATTAACAGAGCAGCCAGTGTTACATAGATTAGGATTTTCTTCACTCCCTAGACATCGGGATGGGGTCAAAATATAGTATCTTATCTTCCCGTCACTGCTGGTAATGATAATATTATCCGTTTGTTTATAAGGAAAAAATCGGCATTCACTGACCGAGCAGCCACTGGCATATAACTGATGCTTTTGCACTCCCTGACAATCAGGCTGAGGTCAAATTGTAGTATCTGTTCTCCTCATCACTATTAGCAATGCTAATATTAACCGTTTCCTTATAAGGAAATATTCTACGTTCACTATCTGAGTAGACGGTACTACACGAGTTACGCTCTTCTTAATTCCTTAGCAATCGAGCTGGCATCAAAGTGTATTACATTTTTTTCTCATCACTACTGATAATGATAACCTTAGCTGCTTCCTTATAAGGAAACATTCGACAATCACTAATATATATATATATATATATATTAAGACATGTCGCATTAAGTAATGATGAAAATATTGTGCTGATGTCGAAATTTCTCGGAATAAAGTGATTATGAATCAATATCGTAATTTTCTTTCTTCCTTTAACAAGGATACTAAGAAACTTGTCTGTAATTATAAGAGGATTCTATTAAAGATGTCTTAATGAAAATATGCTGCCAAAATATACGCAATATATATATTACAGACATTATGTTTGTTTATTTTTATCATAATCCTTTCATATTCCCGAATATCTTCTGTATATTATAATTAAATGAGGCAAGATTATAATATACGGAAAAATATTCGTGAATATGAGAGGATTATGATAAAAATAAGCAGATAATATTTGTAATTTATTCAATCAGACACGCCTAAAAAGAGAATTTGCTGCTTAAATACGCACACACAAGCATGCACATACACCTCGCACTCCCCCCCCACACATATATATATATATATATATATATATATATATATATATATATATATATATATATATATATATATAACTAGACTCGTTTCGAAAAACTGTCGAATTTTTTGATTTGCTAATCAAATCAATCTCGAGGAAAAAACGGTTTAAAAAAAAGAAAGAGCTACAAACATGAACTTCTGTCGACAAAAAATCGCACAGATGCAGGTATATATATATATATATATATATATATATATATATATATATATATATATATATATATATATTTTAAAAGAAAAACAGACCTCTCTAATGCTCCGTTGTAATAATTTATTTCACCAGAGATTTTTATTTTTCTCTGGATCTTCATACTTCAGTTTCAAAAGGTGAATTTAAAATTTACACTTTTGACGAGCAGTATTAAGCTTATATAAGTTGACATAAAGGGTGGTGAGGGATGGTATGAGAGACATGGTCTACTTTAGAGAGGGAAGGGAGAGTTTTAAAATTTATTTTTATATTTCTTTTATTATAATACTTAATATTGAGAAGGAGGGTAAGTATTAGTCATTGATCTTTTAATCGGTCAACTCAATGGAAATGGTATGGGAAAAGGAAAAGGAAATGAATAATTCCTCTCGTATATATATATATATATATATATATATATATATATATATATATATATATATATATATATATATATGCGAGGAAATCCTTACGGCTTTCTTCTGACCCATTTTCAAGGGATGGGGATATATTATTAATCTTTCCCACATTCATCCTTATACACTGAGTTCCAAATTTTCCTATCGTTTGGTGTAAATGTGGAGAACGTTTTAGTGGTATTGTATGTGTCGAGATGAAAGCAGTATTTTAATTCCTTAACATGTGGTAACATGTGGCAGCATGTGGCAAAATGTGGCTGAGCATTGTCATCAAGCACAATAGCGTCTCATCGATTAATAGATTTTATTGAACGTAACAGACAAAGACAGACACTCCAAAATGGAAGCACGACTACCTCTCTTCTGTTACTAGTAATTCTAGATAATACAACTTAGACCACAAACATAAGAATCATATTAACAACCGACTACTTCAAAATGGCTAATGAATTGGACGAAAGAGCTATGGACAATAATCATTACGAATAGTTCCAACGTTTCCTTAGACAACCCCCAAAGAAACCTGTAAGAAAATTAGAAAAACCTAATAAAAACATGTATTAGGTTGGTGCAAAAATAATGTTTTTTGACGTTCAACTTAAGGTCAAAAAACGACATTATTTTATGCACCAACTTAATAACATATTTCTTGTTTTTTTTATTTAATGAAACATGTATAAATGTAGAGTTGCTGCCCATATATACAATCTTCAAATCATATATAATAGATTTTTTTTTCATGAATATATTCAATTCGGTGTGTGTGTGTGTTTTTTTTTTTTGTGTGTGTGTGTATACACTCACCTATCTGTGTACGCAGCTATATAATTTACTCGTCGCTTCAAGTGTAAGTATATGTGTTCTCTTTTGTGAGCCTCTTTTCTTGCACATTCTGCCTCCCGAACCGTAGCTAGCTATGAAGTGGTCGGTTGTCTCATCATTGTCCGGGTTTGGTCAGACTCGAGTCTCTTGAAAGACATCACCTGGTCACAAATGTCAGTTAACTGGACCTTGGGATATATAATGACCACCGATCGGACAGTGGCCAGTGGTTGCGGGCGGGAGAACGAGAATTTTGTTGGTCAGGAGGGGACGGTGGCTGCGGTGGAAATCGAACAATTCGTTTGGGGACGCGCAATAAGCAGAGCAGTAAATAAGTCGACAGGAGGAGGAGAAGAAAAGTGAAGAATTGAGTTTTTGAGAAAAAGCGGCGAGAACCTCTTCGTGGAAACGTTAGAGAGAGAGAGAGAGAGAAAGAGAGAGAGAGAGAGAGAGAGAGGAGAAAGACAGGGATGGTTTAAATATACAAGGGAAGCCAAATGAGGAGAAAAATAGTAATAGATTGTGAAAGTTATACTGCGGGTGGTAAAATATTGAATAAGGTAAAAGACTAGATAATCAAAGAAGAGAGAGAGAGGGAGGGAGGAGAAGGAGAGAGAAAGGAGAAAGAGAGGAGAAAAAGAGAGAGAGGAGAAAGAGAGAGAGGAGAAAGAGAGAGGGAGATAGGAGAAAGAGAGAGGGAGATAGGAGATCAGAGGAGAGAGAGAGGGGAGATGGGAGAAAGAGAGGAGATAGGGAGAAAGAGAGGGAGAGAAGGAAAGAGAGAGGGAGAGAGGAGAAAAGAGATTGAGAAAGAGGAGAAAGAAAGGAGAGAAGAGAGGAGAGAGGGAGATAGGGAGAAAGAGAGGGAGAGAAGAGAAGGAGAGGGAAAGAGAGAGAGAAAGAGGAGGAGGAGAAAGGAGAGAAGAGAGAGAGAGAGGAGAGAAAGAGAGAGAGAGAGAGGAGAAAGGAGAAAGGAGAGAGAGAGAGAAAGAGAGAGAGGAGAGAAAGAGAGGAGAAGAGAGGGAGAGAGAGAGAGAGAGAAGAAGAGAGAGAGAGAGAGAGAGGGAGAGAGGAGAAAGAGAGAGGAGAAGAGAGAGAGAAGAGAGAGGGAAAGAGAGAGGGAGAGAGGAGAAGAGAGAGGGAGAGAAGAGAGAGGGGAGGAAAGAAAGAGAAAAGAGAGAGAGAGAGAAAGAGAGGGAGAGAGAGGAGAAGAGAGAGAGGAGAAAGAGAGAA